GAAAAAAAAAAAAAAAAAAAAAAAAAAGGAGAGAGATTGTGCTGGACCTGTGTCTCTGTCATATCTTTGCAGAATTAAATACATTCTGTCTTATGTCAGCATAATTGATGATTGTGGGTTCCATCAGTTGTACTGTTTGGGAAACCATCAGCTGTCAGGGGTTTGTGTGCAACACCATAAAAGCTCGCCGCACTTCATGCTAAAAAAGCCCATGACATAATGGTCTAAGCTTCTTGTTTAATCTTTTCACAGAATATAAGGCCTTGTGCTTGGGATTTGTTTGGTCCTGAAAGTTATAGTTGTGTTTATAATCAAGTTGAATAAAGAGTGACAAAGAAAATATATCCAGATCTTTATTTTTTCCAAGGGTTTTTTTCCCCCCTGGAAGAATAAGATTCCTGTTTGTTTATTTGCTTGTCTGTTTTTAAAAAAATCTAAATGTATTTATTTGTAACTTTGCAGGTATTTAGATCTAATAAGTATCTCTTGCAAATATGTGTTCAAAATCTCTGCCTAGATGTGTGCATAATGTTTATTCTTACCAACTTATTAGCCAAATTACTCCATTTTTTTGCTTTTGTTTTAGTTTTGTTTTTTTGTTTGTTTGTTTGGTTGGTTTTGTTTTGTTTTCACTAACCTACCAGTAACATTCTTCCTGATAGCCTCTTGACAACTGTACTTGGTGAAGGACAGGAGCCACTACCGAATAATGAGTGTGTAGAGTGAAGGAAAACTGTGCTAACCTTGAAAGAATATAGCAACCAATGGCCGGGTTTAATGTGAGGGCCTAGAGCATCTGCAAAGTGTATATATTGTAGGTAGTTATATTTGAAACAGTACATGCTGGAAAGTAGAGATATAGGAGAAGTTACATGCTACTCTTCTTATTAATAATACCCATAAATCTGCATACATTTTAAAACATTCTGTTTTGTTTTATTTTGTTTGAATTTGGACATATCTATACCATTCCTGATTTGTAGGGCTAAGTAGATCTTTTTATTCCAGTGTAACTGTATAACACTCATTTCTTTGCTAGCAATTTTCTAATACCTTGGTATGACTAATTGTGTGTTTACTTGTTTCTACACTGAATTCTTTTTCACTACTTTAGGCCACTCACACAACCCTGTCTGTTGGAGTCATAGTTGCTAATTCTATATAGGTTCAACCTGCCCTTAAAAATTCCTGTGTCACTAGGCCCCTTCTCTAACTAGACTTATATATGAGGATATATATCAACAAAAAGCCATTGGCTTCATAAGATACTAAGTTAGGAATTTCACAACCATGCCTCCAGATTTCCTACAAAATTTGGAAATCCTCTGTACACAAGACTCCAGCAGAATACAAAGGCAAATCCACTTTCCTTTGCATTTCTTCAGACTTATTTTCTTCCTAAAACCTATCTTCCTGCTCCAAGATATGGTACAAAACTCTCTAAGACAGCTAGACATACACAAGGTATTCTCAAATGAGTCTGCAAAGGAGAAAATAAGCTCCAATGATAAGGCCAAGTAATGTATGTCTCGCTGCCTGGACATAGTAATGACCTAGAATGCACCCAAGTTACCTCAACATTATGACAAAAATTTCTTTTCTAAATGACTGAAAAAAATCATATGCAGGAATATATACCTTTGGAAGAAATGATAACTCTTAGGAGAATCTGAAACTTTTTGTGCAAGAACTAAATCATCGCACACCATTAGATTCAGCATAAGAGTATCCCTTTGCAAAAGAAATCTAAACAGTTTCAAGAGTAATTTTTTAAGAGTTTCTTGATGTTAAATGGTTCCTGGCTACATACTGTATAAGCATTACAAGAACATCATTCATACATACTGAGTTTCATGGTTTAAAAAAAAAAATCCTGGAAACAGGATGTAATTGTAGCAATTCCAGATGCCCTAAGGAAATACAAAATCAAACAAAGCCACACATCACAGCATTATCCATAGTTCAAGCTACAGGCTAACATCAATCTCTAGGTTCAATTCTCAACCTTTTCCTTCTTAATCGCTTTATTTCATCTTTATTATATTAATGCATTCATTATAGTTAGCCCTGTAGTAACAACAATATAGTTTTAGTTGCTGTTTGTGAAGTCCCGATTTATTTTTTTTTCCTTTGCTTTTATTTGTTCTAATCTTTGTGCATGTTAATTTTCTACCACATCGCAACAGGCAAGCTTTGCTTCAACTTTCTTTTCCTACACGAAGGAAAAATTTGAGTGCAGAATCTCAGCTACCAGGTCCTGCGCTGCCATTCTATTTTTCTCTCCTGGGGTGGATTTATTGGAAGGAAATGGGGGAGAGGAAGGGAAGGAGGAGGGATGCTGAAGGGAGGAAGGAAAGAGTTCTCAGCTATGTCGACTCCTGATTCACGACTTTGCCTCCATTCATGGTTGGAGTTCCAGAGCTTTTCCTCGAACGACCTTGTTTTTCTCCAATTTCATGTAGTGATGGTTCTCTGTACATACACACTGGAAAGCAAAATTGCGACAATTACTTATGATAAAGATCATCCGTTTGGCTTTAATAACTTTTCAAACTTTATTTTAGAATAGTCTTCATTGTCACGACTAGCTTTGTTCCTCACTGTGGAAGAACTTTAACTTGCTGTTATATTTAGTGGATACGCGTGGTTCTTTTCTCGTTCTACTGGTCACAACCTTTTAAGCCTCCTTGAACTGCGGATACGTGAGTGCTTTCTGTTTTCTGATAGATAAGGTGTGGGTCTTTACAGTCTCCTAACCTAGATAACGGGAATTTTCACCTTGAGTTAGAAGAGAAATTGGAGGTGCAATATTTAAAGGTAGAACTTGCTATTTTTCTTTTTGGTCCTTACTGCAATCTAGTTGGGGGAGGAAAAATATTTTCTGGCATATTCCTAATCTTTTTCACACTACAAAAATTACAACATTATTGTTCACCAGCAAAAGATTACAGCAACCTTTGTGAGAAATAATAATGAGCAGGAGGACAGAGAAGAGAAAAGATGAATCAACTTCTCTGATTGCCCCAGATTTCCTTTGTCTGTAGTAACACGGTCCATGAAATTTTAGTTATTCATCAATAGGGAATATGATTATGCAACCATGAGACTTCAGTTCAGATCTATATACAGTTCCTTTTCTCCTTTATTTTTTGTGTAGCTATAAAGCCCAGTCATCTGTGAATTTTCAGAGCTGTTGCCGGATTATTGCTTAGAAAGAACAATGTTTTCCAACTCACAGGGGTTCTCATAAGACAGGATCAATCAACATATGGAATAAATTAGTTCAGCTTCATTAAATTGTTCTGAAATAGACAATGTGACTGTACAAGACATATTTTACTTAAGTACTGAAAGTCACTTTTATGTTTGATTTAAGGACATTTATTCCATTATCAGTAAAAGTGGCTCAATAATCCGAATGTTATTTCCAACACCAAGTAGCTTCCTCCCTTAGATGTGGTAGGGTAAGAGTACAAATTTGGGAGGTGTGCTGTCTGAGGCGGCAGGTTTTGTCCAACATACTTAGAAGTAGAATTTCTTAAGTATTTGAATTGCCAAAAGACACCATCCAAGTGCAGGTTCTGATTCAGAAGTTCTATCACGGGCTTGAGATTCTGCATTTAAATAGCATTTCCATGGATGTTGTTTCTGGTGAAAATGGACCGCACTTACCACAGTACAAAAATGTGTATAAATTATATTTGTTAAGGGTCTTAGGGAGTTATTACACACACGATTTTATTATAATTACTACATAATAATCGAACACATTATTGTGTTTTCTCACATTTCCATATCTGCGTATAACATTCTTTCACCATATCCCTCCTTTCTTGTCTCTTTTACCCTCTTCTTTGACTTTCCCCCTTCTACTTTCACAGTGAATACATTTTAAACAGGATTTTTAAGTATTTCAATTACTGAACTGAATGGCTCTTCCAACTTCCCCAAAGAAGAAAGCAAATGCTTTTGTTTGAAGTAGCAGAGTATACCAAAGGTTGACTAAATCAAAGAGTGGACTCTGACATTTTCAAATTATCAAGTGAGTAATTAAAGTTTCTGTCCTTTTGACTCAACAAAAACAAAACAAAGCAAAACAACAACAATAACAACAACAAAAACATTACAGAAGAGCTCATTAACGTTCCTGGAGTCTAACAGTTCTCACCTGTATTTCTGTTATAAATAAAATACCAAAACTTCAAGAAGTAAAGTACATGTGTTTGCGTAATACTTTAGTCATATAAAATTATAGCTATTTATGAATAAATGGTTAACAAATAGAGAAATTCAGAAAAGCAAATGAAGGGATTCAGTTATAAAGTTATTCATATGAAACAGTGTTTTACAACTCTCACACCTAATTGGCCGTGAAATCTGTATATCACCAGGTCCCAACACAGATTGCTGCACCAGAATTTCAGGGGGTGAAAAGAAAAATATTTTCTAAAAATTAGAGCATGATTTTTGATCTGCAAGTCTCTTTTTTTCAGAAATTCTAGAAGAGTGCTGTTTTCTCATTTCCACTTAGAAATACTGTTTTGTAATTTTTATATCTGTGTTTCTTAGGGTTGAAGTTTCTCTTTTAATTTTCTGATGAAATATATTCTACCTAGATTTTTATTTGGAGCTTTATTTTATTCTGTTTCTTTCTCTCTTTTTTGTTATCTCTCACTTACACATGAGTACTTCGCTTGTGACAACATAGAATGTATTCATGTATTTGCCACTGCAGATAACGCTTTCAATAATTTAAGCCTGCGGGCTGGCCTTGGAGTGAGTTCATGGGGAAGTTTCAAATGGGTACCCAAAATTCTGTAATTTCAATAAAAAAAACAGAGCAACAATAATACTCACCAGTGCCATACTAAATTGTGTAATGGTCCCTTTTTACAGGGCAAGTCAATCACTTTTTATTATTTCCATTAAATTAAATGAAACTCAGGATTTTAGGAAACTATTCTCATCTCGTTGGAAAAAGAAGATTAAGTAACCTATATGCCTTTCAACTCACTGATAAAATATCTCCCCTCTTAGCACAATAAATCAAATAAATACTTCAAATTCTGTGATACTATTTACAACAAACTAAGATAATTCTAGGAATTCCATGAAAAGAGAGAGAGAGAGAAAGAGAGAGAGAGAGAGACAGACAGACAGACAGACAGAGAGACAGAGACAGAGAACAAAGCCTTTACCAAAGTTTTAGATTAAATTTGTTGCACTTTAATTTTTATTCTTACAGACCCTGAGATTCAGTAGTATGTATAAGTGAAGAGAGTAGCAAATAAAGGAATATGAACCTCAATCTAGAAACTCATTTGAGAATTAAAATGTAATTAAGAGGACATAATACAAATAAAATGCAAGGAATGAAAAGAGAAGCACTTTTGCCTTTCATAGCGGTATTAATGCTCTGTGTGATTCTAAATCAAACAGAATAAACAGCAACGTAAAATACAAGAACAAAATACACATGTTCTATAGTTCAAAACATAAATTAGAATCACTCTGGTTTATATAACAAATGCAATGATAACCCCTTAAATAAATCATTTTGCAGTATTCTGACATTTTAAATTGATTACCTCATTTGACACTTAGACTAATTTGTGAATCTAAGCCATTATATGTCTTCTTCATATTGTAAATACAAAAGGGATTACTCTACTGAACCTAATTTAGATGGTTCCCTGTGGTAGAACTAAGACAATAATGTCAGGTTTCAAAGCTCAGATTAATAGTTGTTAATAGAATAAAAAAGCCACAAATCATAAAATAAATAATGTACAAATAGCTGGACAATGTTTACATTATTATAGCTATATATTAATATTTAAGTTTATATTCACTTTACTTAATATTCCTATGTCATCAAGAAATAATAATGAAAACAAATACAACACTGATTTTATAAAAGACAGCAAATAACACGTGTTGGCAAATAAACAGAGAATCTGAGATCCTCGCACTCCACTCTTGGGAAGGTAAAAATGAGGGAGCCATTGGGTAAAATGGTAGGGTGATTCCTCAAAATATTAAATAGAATTAATTACCCCATGATCCAACAACCCCAGCTCTGGGAATGTAGCCAGAAGAAATGAAATGTCGAGGCACTAGAATCTTGTACAAATTGTTCCAGAGCCTTACATGCAAGCACAGTTTCATAGAAGCAAATCCAGATGAGGAACATTGCACATATTAGGCCAAATGCTTATCTAATATACATACTCCTTGTGCTCTGTTTTGGCTAAAATTTAAAGATGAGGTTCACTTGGTCAAATTAATATGCCCTCTGTCCTAAGCACAGCTTAATTTAACACTCAATAAGTTTAAAATTAAAGAGTATCCATGTAATTTACAGTAAAAATTTATGCAACTATCAATGCCAGAACTGGAATTCTGCAATGACCAGCCACATATTACAAAGCAATTGGGAGGAGTTAGAGTGAGCCTCTTTCTAGGCTCTTATTTTCAAGGGTTATATATGTTTTATAGCTTTTGTTCATGCATCTTTAGGGCTAGGGATTTAGCTCAGTGGCACAGTGCCTGCCTGGCAAGTGCAAGGTCCTGAGTTTGACCCCCAGTACAAAAAAAAAAAAAAA